AAAATATGAGAACATCAACTACAATACTTCATATCCATTCTCATTCTATTATCAAGTGTTCTAGTAACCAACCATGTATATTCATTTAACAATCATGTATATGTCACTACAGCCCATGATATGACAGAGGTTGGGCCTTTAATTAATAAAATGGAGCCCAAATTACTAAGAAGCCTCTTGGAAAAGTAGGCTGATGGGCAAGCCCCCTCTTTTCGCAATGGTGAGGGGCGGAAGAGGAACGAATATGCTTGAACGAATATGCTCGAAAAAAGTGAGAGGTTATTCAATATGCTCTACTGAAAGGAGAGGTCGAGAAGAGATTAACCCTTATGTGTTGAAGATCGATCTCCCCCATCATATGCCATACGAAAATATTACTATATATAAAATTATTCATTGATCTCCTCGTCATCAACTAGAACTGCGAATCTTGAGTCTGATTTACTTCCATAACCTCTTCCATTTCCTTCCTCTCATATCTTTTTGTCCTTTCCTGGGAATTCTTGTTTGGGCGCCAACGACGTTTCTTAGTGAAGATTGATCAGGTGAATCATTCCTGGGCCCGGAAAAGGAAAGCGAAAGGAGAATGGATAAGTAGATTGGACAACTGCCATTACTCATTAGTGTGTAATTAGGCCTGATACATTGTTAATTGACAACCGCAAAAGCTAACATTCGAGCTTAAGGCCTCACTTCTATATATATGGTGACTTCTATCGTACACACCCCTAAAAAGTGGTGTATGTCGTACTCCACCTAATCGCCACCGTACGTGTGATCTGGACGATCAACGAAGTTCCATATCCATTTTACTATGTAATGGGTTTTTAATTGCCATGTAAATAGCAACACGCATCTCTTAACTCACAAATTTTACATTGCAGTCCAGTTCTGTCAATCGGTTCAGCCGCTCAGTTTACACCTTGCTAACCCAACCCAAATGAGGCAACCCTTTTCTCCTTCGCTCAAACCACCAACCCTTTCTCTGCCTCTGTCTAGCTCGTACTCTTTCCCTCTTGTTTCTATCTTCCATCTCTCTCAACCTCTCACCCTCTCCCGCCACCGCCTTCTCCATGTCGACAATCCATTGCCCCCACTCACTACTACCAATCGATTCGACTTCGATAAATGTACTAGTGTACGGTTATTCAAGTTTATTGTCCTTAGATTTGTGATGCAATTAGCGATCTCATACAACTGACATAGAATTTTCACAAGTTTCTTAAAGCACGTCACAAATCCCACAAAGCGGGTCACAATTTTATGAAAATGCACCATAATTCACATAAAGTACAGAAATGTTTCTTAAAAGCACACCACAAGGTTCTTAAATCACACCACAAGGTTCTTGTATTGTCGTTATATTATTTTAGTGTCACATGAAGCTTTTTGTTCCAGGTGAATCTTTGGCCTTCTTATCTGATATTTAGGGTTTGTTTCGGCCGAAGGAAGAAGAAGACGAATACATAATTTTAATCAAACTGTGGGTGGATAGGTAGGATAAGTCGTGTTTTGCGAATTAACGCGACTGATTGGGCTTAAAGAACTGCACCTATCCCGAATCCAATTTTGAATTCTCTCATCGGCTAATGGGCTTTTTGAACTCCAGACCATTTCAGTTAGGGTTGAAAGCTAAATAAATGTTTGAGTGTTGATTAGTTTTTGGAGCTTCTACACGTATTAATACATGAGGAATTGTTAGATTTTTTTGGAAATTCTAAAGGCAATAGTTTCCCTTTTTACCCATCCTCAACAAACACCACAAGTTTATGAAAGAACACTACAATATTCTTAAAGCTCACCACATCACTTCAAACTCGTACAACAACCTTACCATACCACAAGTTTATCTATAGCAGGCCTTAAGTTTTGTAAAGTACAACACAATCCTCCTGAAGCATACCATAAATTATCCATTGTGAGTTCCTATAGGTAATTATTAGTAGGGAGGCATCATCGGTGCATCGTCGAAGTGTAGGGTGCAAGTAAAATTTAAGGCCGAAATTGATTTGGTGGTAAGTGTTTACTTTTTGGATGGAATTATTAATTGGTAGGTGTTTCTTTAATGGTTGTTAGTATCCGTTCATGATTACTTCAACCACTTTCAGTTTCCATACTTATCTTTTTTTTATTCTTCAGTTTCCATACTTATCTCTAGCTGGTCTCTTTGTTTTAGATTTTTAACCTAAGCGTGTATCTTTATATTACATTCCATCTTTTCACGTTCGTTCTTTTTGCACCACTTCCCCTTTGTTTCGTTTCGCTCCTGTTTTTCTTTGGTTCCTTTCTCTAGATAAAAATGGCTCACCACATCCCATCTCTCCATGCTGTTAGGAAAACCTTTGTCAACAAGCTTGTTAATGACCCCCATAAGAGGAATCACGATCGGTTCCAGAAATTGTTTGCTGCTCGTGCTCTTGCCACCAAATTCATTGTGGACCCTATAGAATTTTTGAGATCTCGACATCCATGTTGGTCACTACATCAACAAACTTGAATGGGGGTTTCTTCTTCACCCCTCCCTCTGCCAGCATGTCCTTTGGCTGTTAGGTATTTCTATTCAAACATGCATTGCAAGGGTGTTAATTACCCAGAGTTCTCGACTACCGTTGCTGGTTATGAGATTAGTTTTAACCAGTGAAGGCCTAGGCCGGATTTTTAACATTCCCAGTCATGGAATCCCCCTTGCTCATGAGCAAGAAATGAGTGGGTACAAATTCAATCTCACAGAGAAATACGGGGAGCTTCTTCAATGGGATGTACTTCCCAATAAAATTGTCACTACTTCATCTCTGAATCGTTTGCAAAAGATCCTTCACTCTTTCATCACCCATGTGTTTTTCCTTGCAGCCACTCACTAGATGTCATCACTAAGCTTGATCTCTAGGTGCTCTCCATTGCCTTGGATGGTCGCAAGCTGTACTATTTCCACTTGCTTTTTGGATGCAAGGTCCGAGCAAGTAGCGAGGAATACACTGGGTGTTTGCCATTCGGTGGTTACATTGCCCTTCTGCTGGTCAACCTTGATATTCCTCTCAATGGTTTTTTTTCCGAAGAACCATCCGTCAATATACCTTCCCACCTCGTCATGACACACTATGTTATCCCGCATAGGCCTTCAACATTGTTGTCGTCGCGGCTCAGGTTGTTGGTGCTCGAATAATAAGAGATCGCAAAAGGCGCCATTTTTCCGCTTCCTCATCACCACTGCAGTATGATAGTTTTCTAGATGTTACAAGTGAGGATTCTGGAGGGGATGGGTCTGACGTGCAACATTAGTGGAAGGGAAGGGACGAAGGGTCGATATTTCAGCTGTCAGTTTTTGGTGCTTTTTGTTATATGATTTACTATATTTTGACTTCGAATGATGTAGGACTTTCATTGTACTAGAAATTTTGTTATGTTGAACTATATTTTGGATTAAATGAAATTGGGGTTGGTAGAATAATATAGTAAATCATATCATATGCTAAAGTGGTACCTACCATAGAGCATAGAAAGCGTACCATAAGTTACTTTATGCATACCACAAGTTACGTAAAAGCACCTCAGAGGTCCATGATGTTTATTTGAAAGTAGTTTGGTGTGGACGGTTTCATGTTTCTTTGTTGTTGAATTTTAGATGTTGAAGCTAAAGAGTATACAGGTCAATGACGCAGTTGTTAAAACCACAACACAAGTGCCGTCGGACCAGTCGTTAAAGTTAAGAACCACAAATCCCAGACAGAGTACCATAATTTAATTTATACAAACCACACGTTACGTTAAAGGACCCCAGAGGCACCATAAAGTCCATCGGTATGTACTTTCCAACCACACAAATCTATCGTAGCAAGGTATATTCTTAATGAAGTTGTGTTCGCTAAATTCATCATTTAAATAACAAATCCAAGGAAGAGAAAACCATAGTGAAAATCCAACTAGCAAACAAGGCATATAAAATCCAAAACAAAAATCCAACAAAAATCCACAAGTAGAACCAAATTCTAGCGCCCAACATCCACAAGTAGACTGATTATTATTGCTCACCCAGATGAAATATGTATCCCAACTAGTGCCCAACATCCACAAGTAGAACCAAACTCTAGCGGGTAGTTATCATAAACTGTCACAAATCTTTGATTATTGTACAAAACGGTCATAAATCTTTAATTTGTAACAAAACGATAACAAAAGTTTGAACTTGTACGAAATGGTCACTTCTGTTAATCTCTGTCCTAAATTCTGTGAGTCTAGTCTAGTCAACTGCCTCGTCAGAAAAAAATAATAAAAGATAAACCAAAACCGACTCCAACCCAACCCATTGCTCTCTCTTCTCCGTCTCCGTCATCAAAGAGTTAGCCCCGCCGCCGTCCGTCGTCTCGTCAACTGTTTACACCTCTGCTGCCATCACAACCCCAGCGAGTGTGCGGCAAACAAGAATCCGCTTTGAACATAGGGAGGAGCAACCGAGGGGAGGCGAAGCAGAGGGGAGGGCGAATTAATCGAGTTGGGTTTCTGGGGTCGAAAATGAATTTGGGACAAAACAATTTGTTTCTCTGGCCGGACATTTTGTAATCGTCGACAGTTTCTTTCCCACGAAGTACTGAACCGACAGCCCTCGGCGCCGGCTTCTCCCCTGTTTCCTTACTCCTCAAGACCAGAAACTCGAGCTCCGCCCTTCCATCATCCCGCTGCCGGAGATCTCTCTCGCTCGTCTTCTGGGCCGGTTGGTGACAAACGATCGGAAGGTTACAGAAGATATAATTGATGCCTTCCCTCTCTATATATGATCGTTTTCTCCTCTCTCTCTCTCTGCCGCCATCTCCACATTGATGACACCCTGCTTCTCCGCCGCATCGCCGCCAATATAAGAAAGCTCTCTGCTTTTCACCAAAACCCAAATCCTGAATCCTTGCAACAATAATAGAAGTAGCCTAATCCCGCCAGAAATTGATTTTGGGTCTCGATCTAGAAGTGGAAGAGCAGTTCAAGAGACTAGAGTTGTCGGAGAGCTTGAAATGGGAGAGGGTGATGTTCTTGACGGTGTGTGCTTAAAAGGAATGAAGATTGGGTGTTCAAGTGGCCGTATTTCACGGAATCGAGAGCGAGATTTGGGTGATGGAAGAGCATGGGGCGGCGGAGTCATGGGTGAGGCTGTTGACGATAGGGAGGTCGATGGGAGAATGTTGAGGGCTTTGGGATTCAAAGGGTATGGCGATATATTGTTCGAATTGGCGCTGGCGGTGGGCCGTGGCGGCGGAGAAGCAGAATGTCGAAGAAGTGAAGATGGCGGCGGATAGGGAGAGGGATGGTAGAGAGGTGAAAGAGTGGGGTTGGGATGGATCGGGATGCTGGGTTGGTTAGGGGTTTAGTTGAATTTGGTTTGTTTATTTTTTATTGATTCTTTTGATGACATGGATGTTAATGGAATGGCTGACTGGACCAAACTAACAGAATTTTGGACAGTAATAGACGGAATGATTATTTTGGTATTTCGCTCAAATGTATGTTACCATATCGTTACAAATTAAAGATTTGTGACCGTTTTGTACTAAGTGTAAAGGTTTATGACCGTTTATGCTAATTACCCAAACTCTAGCATAACACCTACAAAAGACGCAAAGCATTGCATGAGGACTCTACTTCATAAACATTTCATTGAAATGTGGCACAATGACACATTCTTACTCATCCAGATGTTCTTGATCATGAGTCGAAGGATCTTTACAGCAAAACTCACTAATAATCCTTGGCGCAAACACTGCCGAATCGAATTTTCCATACATCATATCCCACACGAATTGTACAAATCCAATCTGCAGACTTAAGGAAGGATGTGAAATGAAATACAAACACACACATATTTGGTTACGCAAGAAGCAAAAACAGTTTATTAACTCTACCATTCTTTCTACTGCCATCCGATGGTCTGGCTTCCGCTCTTCTGATTGGCTTGAATCCGGGATATTTACTACTTTTTCGTCCATCACAATAATATCTAGGTACGAGTGTACCTTCCCCCAAGGTATATTTTCCTTCATGGGGAAACACACCAGCACGCGAGAAAATAACACATTAATTATTTAACCATTAAACTTTACTATAATAGGTATTCAGAGGAGACCAATGGAGTAGAAAAGAAAACCTTATTGCACATGGGAGCACGCGTCAAGAATTTGGTTTCGTACAAATCAAAGGCCTTCTTAGATGTCATGCCAGCCGTCACGAGCTCCTATTCATATCGAACCAACCATAAGTAACCATTAAAGACTTTCCAATGGGGTAAATTTGCAAGCTAGCAAAATGTTACTCGTATTGTACTTGGGATTCAGCAGGCAAGAAGCATATTCCTTTACCACGACTATCCTTTCACACATCATCCATGGTTAAGTGACAGGCCAACGCTGTAATAACCTAGGACACATCCGACCATAAACAATTACTTCTTGCCATAAATGGTACACACGAATAAGCAAGAGTTGTTTGCTAATATAATGACTAACCTCAGCATCTATACTCGACCTGGGGCATAAGGTCCACATCACCTTTCTGGTGAGAGAGTTGTGGAAGGTGCTCACCAAAATCTCTTCGGGTGGAAGGCACGACAAAAAGATATTGTGAGCTACATTGACATCTTGATCACTGTATTTCATATACTCAGGGAGGTTGAACTTCAGAACGCCCTAATAACAAAGCCAACCAGATGAATATTTCTCAAGCTTATAATTTTCTGGGTGGTACATGCGAAAAGAATAATTACTGTGCTGTCTAAAACTTATTATGGCCCCTTTGGTGAATTCTTTCCTCGAGCCTCTCGTTCGAGTCGATCTCCGATTCATCGTCCAAAATTATTATGACGTTTCCAGCCGACATCGAGGGAGGGATGACGCCAACCTTAATTTTGCATCTCTTCTCTAGCGAAACGTAGTTTTCCGACTCCTGCAACCAAAGAACACCTTAGTTTAGGAATTGAATAGCACAACAACAACAAAAATAACCAAAATTTAACGTGGCATATGGATGGATGGATTAACGCATATTCAACTCGTGCTCCCTTCGCCGGGGAAACATATTCTTCTGGTTCCTGCAACTAGAGAACACCACCGTTTGAGAATTGAATCGCACAAACATAACAAAGTAACTGAAATTTAAAAAAGGATATCGATGTTTTCACTAACTGGCTGTTTCAATGAAGGCGTAGTGACCGTTGCTTAGATTTATCGGACTTATTCATGTCTTTGCAAAACCAGGGAGGAGGTTGTGCGGCGATGAGGAAACGCAGGTGTTTCTCTTAGGTTAATCGTCAGCACGCAAAATGGGGCAAAAAAATAAGAAGATCATGTGATTAGGTTTTCCCGAGAAAATAGTAAGTTTTTAGCGATGGGGTGTGCGGTATGAAATTAGGGTTGGCTCACAAATGGATTTTGTTATGGGCATGATGAGTTATTTGAGGTTGTAAAGCCCATACCAAAAAAGTGGGATAGAGTGCGGTCAGTGGGTATGTGGTAAGGTGCATTGTATTGGTTTGTAGAAATAAATTTCCTCGGGAATGTGATAAAATTAATAAATTAGATAATGATGCACATAATGAGAAAATAAAAAATGGATTCCACCAAAAAAATAAAAGGAAAACAGAAATGGGGAGAAACTAGGGTTTTGAAAAAGAGAGAGAGAAGGGAAGAGACGCGATTCGTAGGAGATAAAGAGATTGCTCAGATCCAAAGCTTGGACGAACAGACCAGAGTGATCGAAGAAACAGAGACAGCAGTACACACCATTTCGAGGAGACACTATTATTACTAATTTCATTTATGAAGAAAAGAACAAAATAACAGTAGCTACTAACCTTGGATAAGAGTCAAAGGAAGATAGAAATGAAAATAAGAACACAGCCTCCTTGTAGATCAATAGCCCTCTTCCACTTTGAGTGCAATGACTATCATACAACAAAGATTATTATTAAATAGCCGACTAACAACAAATAGTCGTTGCACACCAATCTTTTTTCTCAAGAAACTTTCCTTCTTTTGAGAAGACAATAAACATTTTTTCCTTCTTAGTGCAAAACGGCAATAAAACTAGACGTTGCTTAACATTTGAGTGAGTTTGTGTCAAAACATGATGGTATGGGCTCGGTTCACTTTGAAATAAGTCTACTAAGTCCGTCCTTGTGGACCATCGTATCATCTTTTACAACCCATTGAAGAATGGGAGGGGAATTGGGTATATAAATTTGCTGAAGCCGACCTGCGTCGCTAGGGTTGTCTTTCACCGAGAACCAACAACAGCTTGCAGAAGAATGTAGGCTGCTGAATTGGGCAAAAACGAGAATGCTCGTGTGAATGAACCAGCAATGGAGGCTCCTGAATCTGGTGTGGATCAAGGAACTATCCCAAACGCCACGGGAATAAATAGTCACAATGACGAAGCTCTCTTGAAGCTCCAAGAAGAAGATATTGCTAACCTACGATTTGCTGATCGAGAGGAAGCACACGCATTTTGGAAGGAGTATGGGCGGGTCTTTGGCTTTGACGTAAGAAAGGAAAAGGTACGTAGAGATAAGAACAAGCTTGTAATATCCCAGCTGTTTGTATGTTCTGCTGAGGGAAAAAAACGTGAGCCCAGTCCAAATGCCAAAGGGAACCAAAGAAGAATTAAGATTCTCCTGCAAAGCTAGAATGCACGTCAAATATAACAAGGGTGAATCGAATTGTTTCATAGACAAGTTTTCTAACAAGCACGTTCATGACTTGATTCCAAAGCTATACAGGCACTATATGAGAGGGAATCGAAAAATGAGTGATGCAGTCAAAGCCGCCATTGATTTCCAAAGAGCCTCAGGAATGAGGACCCATCATATTGTTTCCTTAGTCATTGCAGAATCCAGGGGATATTACAGGATGGGGTACACGAGGAAGGATTGTTATAACTATGTAGACGAGGATTGAAAAGAGCAAATAAGTGAGGGTGGCGCTGCTACCGCTGATCAGGAAGACAAGCTCATAATCGTGTTTTGGGAAGATAGCATTTCGTTCGCTGATTATGCATGTTTCAGTGATGTACTTGCATTCGATGCCACAGACAACAAGAACAAGTACAATTTGCCACTAGTTATTTTTATGGTAACTTCATAATCTCGACCACCTTGTTATATGCTCGGACTGCCGATTCCTGCATCCAAATATTAGCTTTACAAGTCATGGTTTCAATTTGTGTTTTAACATGTTTATTTAAAAAAAATTGCAGGAGTGAACCACCACTTTAACAGCTGCATCTTTGGATGTGCCTTGATGGCTAGTGAGAATGAAGGAAATTATATATGGGCTTTGGACGCACAGAAAAGAAGGCTTTGTGGCGAACCGAAGACTGTCTTCACTGATGGGGACAAAGCCATGTGCAATGCTATTCAGAAGTTATTACCTAATGCAACACATCGGTTATGTTCTTGGCGCATAGAGAATAATATGAAATGGAAGGTAAAGAATAAACCTGACTTCCTGTCTAGGTGGCAAGGATTTGTTGCGGATGATTGGGAACCGAAGAATTAGGAGCAAAGTGGAAAGTGTTCAACGAGGAGTACAATGTGGGTCACATCCAATGGTTTACCACCCTATTTGAGCAATGATCTGAATGGGGCTACACATACATGCGGTCCAAGTTTTGTGCAGGCTTGGCAACAACATCGAGATGCGAAGGAATGAACAACCAACTGACAAATTATATCGAACCGCATCATAATCTGCTATAGTTCTTCATCCATTTTGATCGTTGGACCACAGACATGAGGGAAACGGAGATGCGATTTGATTTCGAATTGATCCACCGAGACCGAACAATTACATCCAATGTCTTATCCCCACTTCAGAAGAGTGCCTCTAAGTTTTATACAAAGGAGGTATTTTTGAAGCTCAGTGTTGAGATTTAAAAGTCGGCAAGCTACATAAGGGTCGTTAGGGAGATTTTGGAAAATTAGTACAATTACATGATAAAAGTTATGGGTAAGGATATGGCTTTCCAGGTGAAGTACACGATTGACCCATTTGTATGGGAGTATAGCTGTCAGTATTTCATTTATATGGGGATACAGTGCTCTCACATGATTTGTGTGCTGAACTACAACAAATTCGGCTTATACTGACGAGGCAATATTTTCATATTAGAGGTTCATTTTGCCATATTTGACCTACTATGACAAATGGGTTTGTCACAAGGTTTTATCCTTTTATCGCCGTCAGGATAGGTCAAATGTGACAAATTCTTGAAACACATTTGTCACAAATGCTCCCGGTATATATGAGGT